ACTACAACCATGAACCTTCTCGGCGGTCTTCCTCTTTTTCTCCTACCTGGAAAATATTGTCCCACACTCTCTCCTCTGCACGCATCCAAACGTCAGCCTGAGCTGTCCCTCTGATATACTCACTTCGTTGTTCTCAGTGCCACAGTCACCATAGCTGGTCTCAGTTTCAAGCCTCAAACTGAGAATCTGGCTATTACAAATTTCTTGGCATTTTAAAACTAGATGCCATGAACAACTTAGAAACAGAGGACACTGCACACTCACACAGCGGCAACTAATCAGTTAGAAAGTAGCCACATACTAAAGCATGTCCTGCTGTACCTTTGATTTTAGTATAAACGAGAGCAAAATTTGTAAAATTAACCTCACGTTAAACTCAAAGAGACTTCAAACTAAGCGAGACCATAAACTCATCAGGAAAGTCTTTATAGAGGTTTTATAACCAAGTGAGCCACAGATCCCTCGGGGACTGTGTCAGGAAGAGCATCCAGTGTAATAAAAAATAATAAATAAATCAAAAACATGCAGAGCTATCCTCTGTGGCGAACTCCTGCGAATAAAATACCATTTTAAAGTAGCTGTTTAAAGAGCCATGCGCTTTCCCATAAGACTTCTGTACCAGGGGTGTCTAACATAAGGCCCAGGGTCCAGAACTGGCCCATCAAAGACTTGATTTTGGCCCACTGACTTTATAAAATGTGAAGACATGCATAGATTTTGAACTTTTAACTGAAATTTTATAAGTTGTTCATTAACATCTTTTTCTATTGACAAAAACTGCTCATGCTCAGCCGTACTTAAATAACACCAAATTGATTAACTAAGAGATAAAAAATTTAATTTCAGTGAAGTTCCTGTTTTTCTACTATTAGTGACTCCGTAGTTAATTAACAATAACTTTTTTCATAATTACAGATCAGTCTGTGCAATGAACTATCATAAAAAGTTACCACCACTCCCGCCCACTTTACATGAAACAACTATATGTGCTGTATGTGGCCCACGATGTAAAATGAATTTGACATTCCTGTTTGACATTCCTGCAGGGTGCGTACAGTTTTAATGTGTGTCTACTTCACTTTTCACACACTGAGCCTACCTCAGGGAAGCTTTAGACCCGGCCACTGCAAACAAACGTCAAATGGCACGCACAGGCGTGATCTGGAGCGTCTCGTGAAAGCAGAAAGCTGTGTTAGATAAATAATTTTCAATTATCACGTGAGTGTTTTGCTGTGAGGAGCACCTTCATCAACCAGCCGGCCAAAGTATTAAACCAGTGTCCCTGATAAGTTTAAAGCAGCTGACCCTTGACACAAACACAGCTGAAAATAATACGAATTAGCTAAAATTATTTTTCAATAGCATTTTCAGTTTGATTGTGCTCTCCTCATTTATAACGACAGATCCTTTTGGCTCAACAACATTCATTTGTTGTGTTTTGTTAAAATTAGCGTGTGTTGTTGTTTTGATGTAGACTGAAAACTTCGGTCAAGTCCAAAACTGTTTTTTCGGGTGTTTAAAAATGATCTTATACTCCACACAAAGGAATGCAAAACAATGTGACAGACATAATAGAAAAGGAAGTAAAGCAAATCGAAATCTAGATTGATGACTATCTGAACGCGACACTGGCAGCTCAAGAGCAGCTGGGGTACGTTTCCTCTCACTGCCAGCTATGAAAAACAAAGTGCCCACCAAAATGTTAGAAATCAAGTTTCATGGAAAAAAACAAACAAAAAAACAACTTTGTGGCAATTTTTTTTTTTTTAAAGAGAGACGTGGCAGTTTTATCTTATTCAGTTTTTACCTTTTATGCCTCTGAGGTTAACAACTACTCATGTAAAGCAGCTGATAAAGCCGGAGGGAAACACTTGAAATGGCTTTTCACTATCAGAAGAAAATGATGATTGACTCTGAGATGTTGTAAATATGGTTATAGGAAGGAGTGTGTGTCTGTGTGTTGCAATCACAGACAGGAAAGAGAGAGAGTTAGGCAGATAGGCACTCCCTTTTTATTGATATGCTACTCCACTTCTTCCACCCACAACTCAAGTAAAGGAGGTGAGTAAAGAAGTCTTTGAATTAGATTTTAATTTTAATCCTGCTTTTAGATTTTAATTTTATTTTTTAAAACAACCAACTTCAAAGCGTTTAATCTCCACTGATTCACAGCTACTGATAACTCTGGTGCAGGTTGGTACTGATCTGGTTAGTACGGGCAGCAAACTAAAATTGGAGTCAGTTACAGCACAAATGCTGCTCATTGCTTTTAATACTTAACATGGAAAAAGGAAATTTTTTTGTGATTTGTGAAAGCAGAAATTCGCTTTTGCTTTGAAAAAATGAATCCATACCAGGGAGATAAGTTCACTGATACATGAATGTTTGCATGCAGCAGCAGAATAGCAGACCCCGGGGTTGCCTGAATGTACGTGTAGCAGATTCCTTTCTCGTTAATCACTGCTGTTGCACCTGACGTGCATGCTGTGCTTTCATGTTTTTATTATTCACGCCATGGAAACAAAAAGCAGCACATAAAGTCAAACTGCCTCTTGAGATAAAAGCTGACATTTGCACTAAAACCCACAAAATTGTCAAAGTTAGAGTACAGTGGTTACGTGCAGTGGTTATGATTATTCATCCGATTAGAAAATGCCACCTAAGTGATAGATGATTTTTTTTTAAAACACCCACCCAGGTGATTCAGACTCGAGCGCTGCACTCACTTTGTTTCATTCACTATTTTTAAGTAAGGAACGTAACTTTAAGAAACAATGCAAAGCTGAGCAAACGTACAGAAGGAAGTTTGTGGCGTCACCTTGCTGTGTGGTGTGGACATCAGCTTGTCAACATTTTAGGCAACCAGCATATGTGAAATCTGTCTTTCAGTGCAACAGTTGCATATTTTCCTTCTCCATCAGTGATGAAATTGTTTATTGACAAACAGCCGCAGTACTTTCTGTATTTAACTAACGTGCTGCATTACAGCCCAGTTTCGTATCGGCCCGATGGCTGGCATGAATGGGACACAGGTGGAAAACCTATCTAGCTCCAACAGCAGCACCTGGCAGGCAGAGGCTTCAAGAGGAACCCAGATTGTAGTTACGCTGCTTATCTTCTTGGTGAGAAATCGTCTCCTTTTTTTTTACTTTCAGTTCATGAATCGTTTCCGATGTAAAATTCACATTCAGTATCAGTTCCACTTACATATATACATGTGGAGTAAATGCTCCATGTATTGCAGCTACAACAGGCAGGGAGCCTGCTCAATGTAAATGACGATTGTCATGCAAAGGCTGAAAAAGCCACCAGAGCTCATTAAATAAGACCAGCTCCATCTTCGTATCGGTTTCACAGAATGAACAGTAGGTTCAGTCTTCACAACAAGCAAATAAATGAATTCCTGCAAAATGTCAAGTTGCTGTTTCCCCGAGCCTAACTGCAACCTGGTTGTCTTGGTACCTCAAGGTGGGCGCGCCTCTGAATGGGCTCGTGGTTTGGGCGCTCGGATTTCGGAGTCATCGTCATGTGGTGCGTAGAGGTAGTAATGAGGAGACACGCGCTGCCAGCAGTTTCCGTGTCTATGTCCTGAACCTTGCCCTGGCCGATCTGGTGCTGATCCTGCGGACCCCTCTCATGTTGGGCTTTCTCATTCACAACTACAGCTGGCCATTTGGGGACACCTTCTGCCGCATCATCATGTTCCTGCGGGTCCTGGGATTGTACGCCTCTGCTTTCCTCCTCTGCGCTGTGGCTCTGGAACGATGCTTGTGCCTGCTGAGGCCGGTGTGGGCTCGACTGCGACGGCCAGCTTGGGCCGTCCCTTTGGCCTGTGGTCTCATATGGCTGATGGCTACCATCTTGTCTAGCCCCTACCTCTACTTCGCTGTCCTGCAGGAGAAATCTGGGAAACACCTTTGCTATGAGAGTGAAGGGCATAATACGACTTTGTTCGTAATCGAAACTTTAGCAGGTTTCATGTTGCCCGTGCTGGTGTTCCTGGGAAGTAACCTGGCTGTTCTGCTCACTATTAGGAGAGCTTCACCTCCAACACCCACCTCCTCCACTCCTTCAATGGCACGCAAGATGATAAGGATGTACCATGTGCTCTTTTTCACAATGCTCCTCTTCCTCACCTGCTGGGTCCCCTATTTTGTTTGTCGATTTGTACAGGCTTTGGCCAAATCTCACTCTCTGTTTCAGTCAGCAAGCTATGGTAAATACATATCTCTGTACCTGGTGTATATCAAGAGCGCCCTGAACCCCGTGCTTTACGTGTTTGCTGCCAGAGGCTTAGGCCGTGCCATCAAAGCTTCTCTCGTCTCCACCATTGACCGACTTTTCAATGATGACTCCTCAGAGTCCATACGAAGGAAGTCACTGAAAAACTCGCAGATGTAACAGGGAGGCCAATAATGTAATAATTTAGCATGTTAACTCTTCATTTCTTCAGCATTTCTTTTAACATGTGCATTTCTCCTTTTGTGGAAATTATTCATCCCCCTTTAAAATGTGAGTTGTGTAAATACAGAAGTAGAAGTGTTTGAGTTATTACAAGTGAATGTACCGCAGTGTCCTCTTTATGAGTGAAAACCACACATAATCTTGTAAATAAAATGATGATTTTTGCTTTAGTTTGACAGTTTTGCAGAGATGTGACCATGTATTTCAAGGATCTGGACTGTTATTGATTTGTTTTGAATGTACACATACTTTTTTATTTTAATAGGCTATTAAAATTTTTGAGAATGGGAATGGAAAAGTTTCATTTACAAAACAAAACAAACAAACAGAAATTACTCCTATGCTTTGCCAAAAAGAGCATATTTGTCTCATGAAAAGGAGATTTGGGTTTGGCTGTTGCTGCCAGCTCCTAACAAGAAGCTGCCTCTGTCTGAACATGCTGATGGCAGGGTTGTTATTCTAGGGGAAAATGAATTCATGAATCATCTTGTTCACTGGTTTATGCAACATGCACAGCAATGAAAAAAACAACATCATTTCGATGCTAACTTCCTGGCTGCAGGGTAAGTTTTATTACATGGAGTTCTTAAAAAGAAAAAACAACCCATACCTTGCATAATCCTTTCAAGAATGCTATTGTTTCCAGCACAGAGCAGATTCTCCAAATTTGTTAAAACCAAAAGTTTTCCAGATTAAACGCATTCCAGTAGCTTTAGTTAGCTGAATGTCTCACTAGGCTTGCAAAACATCAAGCAGCAAGCAGCAGCAAGATTTGGACTTGTTTTTATTCAGCGCACACTAAATCTTCCACTGTAAAAAAAAGTTTAGGCAGCAGGATTTTAATTAATTCACTGTTCAGTTGTGACTTTATTTAATTTTCAGTTGTTTAGCCTAAACTTGCCACAGAAGTTGGATATCAGGCTTTTATGTCCACCAAAAGACAAAAAACATCCACATAACAGAACACATAATTAATAAAAAACAAAGAAAAAAGTAGCTGAAAACAGGAATATGATGCAAACTCAATACCAGCGAAGCATGGTAAGCAGAAATATTCCACAGGGTTGTTATTCTAGGGGAAAATGAATTCATGAATCATCTTGTTCACTGGTTTATGCAACATGCACAGCAATGAAAAAAGACAACCACAAAGACAACCACAAATATGGAAGTAAGAAGTATCAAACCCAATAAATACTGAGCAGCAAATCTCTAAACCTCTTCTTTAATGCTACGTTTCTTCAAAACTCAGTGCACTACTATTCAATACGCAGCCGGGGTGGAAGAGCCGATCGGCGTGTTCACGTGCCCGCGCAAGCAGCACCTGGTCATCCTTGGTTGGCTTCGATTTCTGCAGAATTTGGCCCAGTTTCCGAGCTGTGGCTGCAGAATCGCTGTCTGGTATAAACTTTCTCAGCAGAGCCTGAGGAAAATAGAAAGTGGCAATTTAAATTGATTTTTTTTAAATGATCTGGTCTTCTCCTAGGGAAGAGAGGCAGCAGATCAATCAGCAGTGGGTATACACACATTACCGCAGATACAAGTACAGTTTTTAAGGCTTAGAACCAGAGAAAAGATAACTGTTACAGTCCTATGGTGCCAAAAAGTGGCACAGGTGTAATTTTCAGGTATGAAACTTGCAGGTTGTAGTGACTTCAGATGACCTACACTCAGCATGACCTGTGACATGTGGTTGATTTTTCAACTAATTCCAGGTAAAACGTATGAGTGATATGACTCGTGAAAACAGCTAGAACAAAAACAAGGGTTTATTCTGTAGCTGAGTAGATAACCAAGATAACACAGAACCTAAAAGTCACATTCTCTCTCTCTCTCTCTGCATTTCGTAACATGAATTTCATGTTTTTTCACAGAAGTTGCACCACAGAGAACATGTACAGGCTTTCCTGTTACATGGTAGAGGAAGTGCCTGCTAAGCTATTTAGAAATGCTATTCATAAAAAAAAGAAGAAAGGAACAAAATGAACTTCACCTTTAGTGATAAGTAATATTGTGCAATTTGGTTAAATGAAGCACATTTCAGATAGTGTGAAAATGTTGGCTGTGCCTAGCTCTTAAAATAACAACACTCACCTCCAATGTTTCACCTTTCTGAGAAGGAAGACAGGGAAGTTTGAGAACAGCTCGTTCACTTATTCGTAAAATCTGTGAAGACCAGAAACTGTGTGAGTTTGAAGTAAATCATTAAAAACCTTCGAGTCTGTAATTCGATATGGCTCTGGTGTAGCATTCCAGGCAATACTTGATATTTCTCCAGAATAGGTTATGTCAGATTTCACAACAGCCACAAAATAGTCACATTTCAGCCAAACATCACAAAAAATTCACTGTTATGGTGATTCTGTAACAAACGTCTAGACGAACCTGTCTAACGGCCCCATGATGGTGTTTATCAGATAAACCTGTTCATCTGCTTGTTAACATAAACAAACTTAAACGTAGCCAGACTGATCTGAGTATTTCAGAAACTGCTGATCGGCTGGGATTTCCCCCGCACAACCATCTCTAAGGTTCACAGAGAATGGTCTGAAAAACAGAAAATAAGCAGCAGTTCTCTGGGTGAAAATGCCATGTTGATGCCAGAGGTCAACGGAGTATGGCCAGAGTGTTTTAAATAACTTTATTGCTATTTTAAGACTGCTTGAAAATGATAATAAAGTCAGCCTGGTTAAATCGCTGGTTACAATCATGGTATGCAGAAGAATATATCTAAATACACAACACGTCAAACCAAGACCACAACAGGGGCCAACTAAGAAAAAGAAACCAAGGCTACAGTTCACAGTCTCACCAGTTGCCTGGATAGATGAATCAATATCTGCTACAGCATTCAAATGGCAGGGTCAGTAAACAACATGAAGGCATGGAACCATCAGGTTCAGGCTGGTAAGGTTGTAATGGTGTGAAGCATATTTTCTTGGCACATTGTGGACTTCATAGTACCAACTGAGCATCATTTAAACGCTACAGAGACATCGTGTGTGAGAATTGATGCATGTCCATACTTTTATGACCACCATCTTCTGATGGCTGCTTACAGCAGAAGAACGCGAGATGTTGCAAAACGCAAATCTATCAAACTGATTTCTTAAATGTATCAGTGAGTTCACTGTACTCAGATGGCCCCAACAGTCCCCAGATCTCATTCTAATACAGCACCTCTGGGATGTAGTGGAAGATGAGATTCCCAACATGGATGTGCCCTTTGCCATGACAGCTGACTCTCACAGCAGGACCACAAAAATTGCTCAGGAACAACTCCAAGAATATATCAATGAGCCTGAGGCATTGACACTGGCCAATATGGTTAAATGTTCATTATCAGATAGCACGAGGCACGAAATGACAACATTCACATCTGCTGCGACTCCTCAGTGTTTTGAGGTTGTAGGTGATAACTTTAGTGTGAAGAGGATGATTCAGCCATGAAAAACTCAGACAATGCTGTAATGCTTTAATAGATAAATGCGTGTTTATATTAATAGCATCATATAAATGCTCATAACAGCTGGTGTAGCAGATTTTCACTAAAATAAAAAGGTCAAATTCACACCTGAATTAAAATCAGGACAGCAGTGATTGGAGAATGTTGCAATAAAGACAAATAAGTATGTGTGCTTGTGTGAAATCATTTGCACCTCTTTAGCTTTCTCCTCTTCCTCCTCTAACTGGTCCCTCAGCTGACTGCATGAGTGCTGCAAAGACTCTGTTTCCTCCTCCAGCCTCTCCAGTGCACGAACCACAGCCCTCAAGTCTTCCTGCAAAGTCAAAAAGAAGCCCTCATGTAAAACCACTGATACCATTCTCTTGTTTTAGGACTGGTTTTTTTTTTTGGTTTTTAGCATGATGTTATTTTTTTTCTATGACCTGTCACATCTCAGTGTAAAGGCAGAAGTTATGTTCATAGACTTTTAGACAATTTCTCCACCGTGGATTTTAAACCAATTAATTAACACATGATTAAAGTCCAAACTTTCATATTTAATTCAAGAATTATTTTTAGACATATTCCCCATTTTCATAGGCTCGAAATTTCAATTCGACTCACTTTTAACTGTAAGGCACCAAATCACAATAATTTTTTAAAACAGAATAATGAATGCACTGACCACCAAAGAGGTCTAAATGTCCACAGAAAATAGGTACAAATGACAGACATGATGACAGAATTATTTTAATGGTTAAAATCATTGAACCAAGTCAAGAACACTCTGGAGGAGGTAAGCATATAATCGTCAAAACCAACAATCAAGAGACAACTTAATGAGTAATTTGCACCTTGTTGGTCTACAGAAAGGTGAACAAGAACAAGAAAAGCTCAGACTAAATCTTTACACAGATAACACCAAGATGCACTTGTACCAAAACAAATTAAAAACGTAAAAAAAAGTAAGTAAAAATGGGTGCAGAGAGAGGAAAAACAGCTCATGGTCTGATGAATTTGTGGAGAGTGTTGTGTGTTATGGGTCACTAGTACTTAAAGATAATAGGACTGCTGTTAGCAGCAGCACGATGAACTCTTTAGTGTATTCTATTGTATTTTAATTTTGAACATGTTAAAATAGTATACAACCACAAAAGAGAAAAAAGAAGCAAAACAAAAGGAAAATGTAAAACAATTATTATAAATAACTTACATGTTCAAAAAAAAAGTAGAAAGAAGCATAAGCTTGTTTAATCCCACCCCATTCCACTATTTAGTAACTAATAGTGTATACATTTGTTACATGTATCTTTATAGCCCCAGTAATAAGTCAAAAGATACAAATTTACAGGTCTATATACATACTTGTGCAACCACACACATATATACACATCCCTATAGTGAAGATAGTCGGGGAGAACACCCCATCGTCTAACTTTACATGCCTATATTCTCTGCTCAGATTGAGCCAGTTGCAGAAAAACGAATCATACAGACCTTCACAGTGCAAATAGAAAACCAGGCCTGCAACGATTCATCGAGTAATTCGCTTATATAAAAGGAGAAATCCTCAACACAAATTCTTTGCTTTGATGCTTCGTTTTAACACGTGGCTCTGTAGCATTCTGATGTGTTAAATGTATCAAATCTGACGATGATATAGGAAGTCTGACAACATAAAACCCACGCACCGTGAAGAGCAAAGAGGCAGAGCCATTACTGAGACAGTAAGCTTAGGTAGAGTGAAAGAAAACGTGTTTCCAACGTTGGTTTGTTGATCGAAGCACCTGATCAACAAACTCCGACCTGAAGAAAAGCAAACTTTGTAGCTGCTCCATCCATCAGTGTTTCTTTTACACGGTGAAAATCAGTAAGCCTTCAGAAGTTGTATTAAAATATGCAGATGAACTCTTAACTTAGCCTAATAACACATTTAAATCATACAGCTTTCTGAAGGCTGATTCAAGCAGTCTTATTTTACATGGAAGCAATGCCTGCAGCAAACATTGGCGTGTCCAAAAGGGGGCATGGGATGCACTAGATCATATTAATTTTAAGGTTTCGTAACATTATCAGATTGAACGTGAAATAGTATAAAATACTGTGTTAATTAAATTGCATTAATCTTTAAAAAAGAAACATTGATTTTGAAAGACCTGTGTTTTTCCTCTTTTGAATATTTGTTATTCCTCATTAGACAAAATTATTTCTTATCCAATTACGGTACTCGATTAAATCAGTGGAATTATCAATAGATTGCTAAAATTAATGACAGCTGCAGCCCTAATGGATAATAAACCAAAGCATACTGCAAAAACAACCCAACAGTTTCTCAAGCTAAAGAAAATAGATTCTTCAATAGATAAATGAACACAGTAGAGCATGCTTTCAATTACTGAACACAAAAACTGGCAGAGCATCTTAAAGGAGGAAACACAACATCTGGTGCAGTCCATTAGTTCTACACTTCAGACCCTCATTGACTGCAAAGGTTTTTCGTCCATGTAAATAATAGATCATTATATTACTAAAAATAAAATATTAAAAAAAAACATTATATTATTTTTGAGCTTCTGAAAAAATAAAAATGGCTACAATTCATAAACAGTTAAAACAATGAATTAAAGCTAAAAGTCTGCACTTCAGTCTTGATTGGCTGATTTAAAATTCGCTGGGGTGTTGTACTGTGGCAAAAAATTTTTTAAAAAAAATCGATGTGTCCCAGTTTACAAACATATTGACCTAATTGTATCATTCAGTTTTATTGTGAGCAGTTAAATTCCTGTTTTGTTTTTTAACCCCATCCTTCGTCTGCTCTCACGTACAGAGAGCTGAGTAGGTGTTACTTCAGAGCAGAGAAACCACAGCACACAAAATGAAACAGACTTTATCTCAATGGTGTCAAAGACCACAGTCTAACCATAAGGTAGGCAGTGCAAATCATTTTTCTCATACCTGCTGAACAAACAGAATATCAACTTGCAAAAATGTGAAAACCTCTCTATATCAGTAGGTTTTTGCACAGATGTATCAAGTTCATGGCCACATAAATTTTCCACCAAGAGACAGTTTAGCTTCCAATCAAATCCTCCAAAGCAATCGAATCATTTTTTATGTTTTTCACCTTCAAGATGCTCAGATTCTTCTCTCCAACCACTGACTTCTTAGTCTCGTCCTGGTGATGCCTGGATGAGTGCTCCAAATATTTTTGTTTCTGCACTGGAACTTTGAGTTGTGCACACTGAGCCAGGAACCTAAAATGGGTCGGAAAACACATCAGGAAAAGGCAACACAAACTGCAGTTTAAAAAAAATTCTCAAATGATGATGTCTGAATTAATAAAAGAATAAAACAGAGGATTATAAATGAATAATTTAATGAGGGTTCATCCACTTTCACTCAATCCTTATCATTGTGATGCACACCCACACAGAGCAGGGCCCTGCTTTGTGTGAAACAAACACTGAGCTGATGAACTCTGAGTTTCTGGTTCCAGAAAGGCCGATCGGTTACAACACAACAACTGATTCATCAGTGATCACTGCGTTGTGTCTAAATATGCAGACCAGTTTTATTAAATAGAGATTGCTGCAGTAACATATGCCAACTGTTTCAGTGCATGGGGACAGGCTAACAACCTAATAGCTGTCTTATCTTAAACTGCACTAAAGTCACCATCTAAGCTTGTCGTGCTTTTTGTTTATTTGTTTGAATGTTTTGTGGTGCTTGTTCTCATTCTTGCTGAACACTGGTGTCGCTCCTTTTCCTGTTTAGCCCAGATTTTAACCATTATTCACTATCTGACCTACATGCAGTTGTTTTTTTGGGGGGTTTTTTGTTTGTTTGGTTTGTTTTTGTTTTTTGGGGGGAGGGGGGCACATCCACATAGGTTGCATCTGGGGTTTTTTCCTCTCTCAAAGGCAAATATTTGTCCTTCACAGTTTTCCTACTTCTTCATACATTCCCTCACTGTCCTTACAGGTATGTGACAACTTCTTTGAGTCCCTGAATTGAAGCTATGATTATTGTTTCTTATATTGAGAACATGAATGCTGCAAAATAGTAGATGGAAGTGCACAGGTAGAATCGAGCTGTGTTGAGGAGACATGTAGTGACTTTTCTAGGGGCATCCACATCAGGTTACAGTGCAGGATATGTTTTAGGGTATCAGAGGAGTTTGCGGTTATGACTGTTTATTTATCACAAAGGTATAAACTGGGTGTAAGCAAATACCTGCGGACACAAACACAGTACCATAAGTCCTGAATTACTATCCAGAGTCACAGTGTTACACCCAATTTTTTGTTTCAGGGAGCAATATAGTCTATAACCTATAACCTAAGGGTTAACCGAAGTCATACTTTTCATTAGACCTGCTTTCTGGAACAAAGCCTGGAGCAAAGCCACAATCTGAACATCATCAAGGTAATTATGTGGGATGTAATGAAAGGGTGTGAGCCATGCCACACCTTTAGCCACTCTTCTGGTCTTAACAAAGCACCGCAAGGCTTCTAATGTGCTAACTGATGGGGTTCAAACATACGCAAACATCACACAAGGCGTGTGACGTTCGTGTGATGTGACAGGCGTTCAAGTTTAAGTGCCGCTTTCAAGTGCCGCATGTTCCTAAAACCAACCTACACAAACTTAATTTCATGTGTGACTTAAATTTAACGTAAAAAGATATCCAACTGCATGTAGGTCAGATAGTGAATAATGGTTAATTGCCGTTAATTGCTAAGATATTAGAAAAGGTTGTGGTTATTATGTTTTAGACAAACATAATATTTTTGACAACTTTCAGTCTGTCTTTCGTAGAGCTCATTCTACTGAAACAGCCCTTCTTAGAGTTTCTAGTGACATTCTGATGCAAAACGATACATTACATTTTGCATGAAAGGCTGAAATACTGGGTTGGTGTATCTGGGTCTGCCTTAGAGTGGTTCTCCTCGTTTCTCTATGAACGATACTTTTCTGTGGCGGTCTCTAAGTACAGGTCATCTTCCACGTCCCTGTCCTATGGTGTGCCACAAGGTTCTGTGCTGGGACCCTTATTGTTTTTAATATATCTACTTCCTCTCCAACATATTTTGAGCCCCTTTGAGGACATTTGCTACCACTGCCACGCAGATGACATCCAGTTATATATTTCTTTTAAACCTGAAGATGTTTCTAGGCTGCAGATTCTAAATGAGTGCTTAGAATCCATCAAAAGTTGGATGGCTGACAACTTCCTCTAACTTAATGAAGAAAAGACTGAAGTCCTTGTATGTGACAGACATGTACCGTACCAAACATAATGAATGCTCTTGGTCCTCTTTCAACATTTGTGAAATCGTCTATCAGGAACCTAGGGGTAACCTTTGATTCTGCTCTTACTCTGGATGTTCACGTCAAATCTCTGGTTCGGTCCTGCTTCTATCATTTAAGAAACATTTCTAAATTGGGCCCTTTAATATCTCATACTGACCTGGAGATTGTTATTGATGCATTCACTTCATCGCGATTGGTCTACTGTAATTCACTGTTTACATGTCTAAACAAAAACTTCCTGGAACGTCTGCAGATTGTCCAAAATGCTGCAGCAAGGCTTCTGACAAAAACATCTAAGTACTCTCATGTAACACCATTGCTTATACAGCTGCACTGGCTCCCCGTTGAATTCAGAGTCCATTTTAAGATATTGGTTCTGACCTTTAAAGCTCTTCAAGGACAAGCACCAGCCTACATCATTGAACTTTTACAGCCCTATGTCCCTAGTAGGTCTCTGAGGTCTTGTGATCAGAGCCTACTTGTTATTCAGCATACAAGGCTGAGACTGTGGAACTCTCTTCCTCAGAACTTAAGATCTGCGGACTCAGTGGTCACTTTTAAAAAAACAACTAAAAACACATCTTGTTGCATTTTGCTAACTTTTGTCTGTTTTTGTTTTATACTTTGTGAAGCACTTTGTGATCTTTTTATCTAGAAATGTGCTATATAAATAAGAATTTTACTTACTTATGTTGTTTATTTATACATACTTTAACTGTAATTTCAGACTTAATGCTTACATGGTTTTCATTTTTTTCAGATGCTCCTGGCTTTCCTTCTTCTCTGTCCGCTTCACAGCAAGAGCTGCTCTGTGAACAGGGGGGGAACAAAGTGTCCTTACAAGGTAATTTTTCTTGCTAATATTGCACAATGTCAACAGGAAAACCTCAGCTTGAAATATATTTCAGGTTATGGTTAAAAATAAGAGCATTCTACTTCTGATGTGAGACTCACAGTACTGATAAGTCCATTATGTTCTCCAGAGCAGTGATGGAGGACCTGGACATCAGCGCCCTGTTGTCCTGCACTTTAGCTCTTTTAGGGTTAGGAGATGATCCTCTTTCAGCTTTAAAGACAAGAGCCGCATTAGAAAATACAAACAAATACAAACTTCACAGTTTGCTGTGGAATGAGAGGTATAACAGGTTCCTAACCTTTCGTCTGTGATGGTTTTGGATGGATGATCTTGGCTTGGTCCTAAAGTAAATGAAGGGTTGGAGGTAACAAGTCAGCCTGAGCTGCGACAGATAACAACGACGACGACAGCTGGAGTGTACTTACTCACCCGACTCGATGTTTCTGCTTTTTCCTTGTTTTTCCTGTTGGGTGTTTTTGATGGGGCCCGGTCAGAACCTCGTGTGGGTTTCATGTTTGCTCGTGAAAACGTCGAAATAAACCAAAACGTTAACCTAATGTAGCTGAAACAACATGACAACGTCTGACTCCCAAAAGCGTCTTAAGTAACGAGCACGAGTTTTCTTTGAGAAACAATTAAGCCTTAATTATAAAAGGCATAAAACAAATCATAAATAGTTAAAAGACAATATAATTATTTGAAATCTAAAAATTCGCGTTATTGACGTCCTGCTTTTTCGCGCTGCTGTTTTCAAACTCCACAGCTCGCATGCGCATAAGCATTGATGGTTTAACCCGGAAAGTCGCTTGTCAGGCAGCTGTTCAAGACAATAACGATGTTGCCGTCGTCCAAAGACCGAAATAAGGGACGGGGATAAGTCTGACTAAATTATTTACTTACTGGCACATCGATAAGGTTAATTACCTTCCGTAAAAATTTAAAACAAACCCCTATGTGAGCAAAACCTGGACCAAATCGCTACCTGTGAACGCCAACTCGGGGCTAAATTAACCCTACATCCGCCATTTTGGGGAAAAGGCAGCCACCCAACGTTTGTCTAAATTTTTTTTTTTTTTAACAATTGAAACAATACAGTCACAAACAACATAACACATTATAGTGCAAATGAACTCTCGTGGAGGATTAAAAAAAAAAGAACACAGTAAATACAACAAAACTAACAGCAAGGATATGGGGGGAGGGGCTAGACAAAAAATGCACACTATTAACGGGGAAGAATTAAAAAAGAGCACAGGTTGATACACAATAGAGGTAATAATCAAAACAGTAGCAAATGGGAAATGTCATCATGGATTGCGGCAAATCTGCTTGACTTCAGTTTTTTAAGTGACATGAAATAATGTTTAAAGTCATTGATGAACCATGTAAAGGATGGTTTTCTATTCCTCCATTTACAACAATGTATATGGTATTTACCTAACAGGATGACAATGTTAATCACAGTAGAGACAGATGGATGTTGTTTAGCCATATAGAAAATAATATCAGAAATATTAAACTGGGGAATATCGTTGATCTTGAGGGATAACCAGCTGTGTAGTTCTAACCAAAAGGCAGCTGACACAGGACATGAGAAAAACAAATGGTGTAATGTTTCACAGGCTGAATCACAAAATGCACACTGTTTAACCTCAAATTTAAACCTCCTCTTTAAAAATTCAGACACAGGATATATATTATTAATTATCTTGAAATGAGTTTCTTTTACTTTTGGGGAGACAGGCCACTGAATGAATTTTGAGAACAACTTTTCCAGGAGTGACTGGTCCCCACGAAGGGCCTGCAAATATCTACCTGAGTTAAACCCCTGGAAAAGAATAGATTTGAAATTCACACTGATAAATTTATTGTTACATTTACTATCATTTAGGATGCAGTTACCAATTTTTAGGTTTGGCAGCGCTGGATTGACCTCAGAGTGTAGCATTGTGTTGCGTATCAGCTGCCTTAGGGCCAAAGGGATAGCACAGCAAACTTTTCTGTATTCTTTTAATGGACAATTAAAGTCGTGTCTCTTTGAGAAAGACACGTAATCCAATAGAGCACCACTCAAATCCAGCAAGTCAGTTACAAACAAGATACCACTCTCAAACCAGTTCCTGATAAATAATGTCTTTTTGTTAGCAGTTATCACTCTATTGTTCCATAGGGTCGACATGTGAGGAGAAAAGTTGTGTGTAAACATCATTTTCCAAAAATGAAGAATCTGTTTGTGAAAATTAGAGAGTGTAACAGGTATTTTACTAGTCTCAAAGTCACATTTTAATAGAAAATCAATTCCTCCTAGTTCCTTAAATAAAGATCTGGGTATGAAACCACATGGAATCAGACTGAGATAAGCAAGCTCTGAGCCAGTTGATCTTAAAAGTTCCGATCATTGATTCAAAGTCTAAGGCTCTGACACCACCCTTCTCATAGTCTTTAACCAACTGTGATCTCTTAATATAGTGGGTTTTGTTTTTCCATAGGAATTGAAAAATAATTGAGCTGGCTTTCCTAATATTTTGGGGAGAAATATAAAGAGAATGACTTGGGTAAATTAATTTAGAGATACCTTCAGCTTTGGAAAGGATGACTCTGCCAAATATAGTGATATCCCTGGTCAACCAACGACTAAGGGATTTCTTCATGTCTATGATACGATTGCAGATGTTGTTGTCTTCTCTTCGGGACATATTTTTAGAAATCACCATACCTAAATATTTAACTTCCAATTCAACTCTTATAGAAGTGTATCCACATCCAATGTCCCATTAAGGCCTCTAAGACTTTCCAGAAACACAGTGCCATTCTCCGTTGAAAAGGTTGACTTGTAAAGGTTACTGTAAAAATGAAGTATTTCCACGTTTATTTTGTCAAGCACTGTTTGTCTAAATACACTCCTCCTCAACCAGTGTTGCCAACTTAGCGACTTTGTCGCGGGTTTTCAGACCCCCTTAGCGACTTTTTTTCTAAAAAGTGACTAGCGACAAATTTGGCGACTTTTCCTGGTGTTATTGGAAACTTATTTATGACGACTTTTTGACGTGAAAGGGCGTGTTGCTCTTACTCTCAACAAGCAGCGATGCTGCCGTGGGCACCTCACCCGTGCTAAAGCGCAAACGGGCGGAGGATAGTCCTCCCCCAGCTGCAGGAGATGTTCACACCTATGCGTCCAAACTGCAAATGAACCGTGCATGAGCGAAGCCGCTGCTCCGCACTGACTGTAACGCAGTCAGTTCTTCTTTTACTGTTATGCTGTTTTGTGGATCACAAGGTTTAAAACTACTTATAAACACACACACATAAAGTAACTCCACCAGAGTGCCTATTTCGGGTCACGTTTGCCAGTCGAAGCCCGGATAAAGGAGCAGGGTTGGAATTGTGACATTAAACAACAATAATTGCTAAAAGAAATTTAATTTGTAGTTCTAGATAAATTCTAAATGTATTTAGGACGTTTTTTTGCTCACTTTATGTCTCTTCCACGAAGTTATTTCTCTTTCCAACAGCGTAGGTCACAATTACATTAGCATGACCAATTATGCAAATTAGGTGATGACGTCATTTAGCGACTTCTAGCGACTTTTAGGAAAGCCAATAGCGATTTTCCTTACTGAGGAGTTGGCAACACTGTCCTCAACCCTACCTCTCCAAATAGTCAGTCTGAGCTTTCCCGTATTGCTAATGTTGTCCATTCTCGTCACTCCCAGTGAAAATAAGATTTTCAGCTCTGCCACGGTCTCCAGCCTCAGAACTAATAGTAAGCAAGTGCCTTGACGGTGGTTTCGCCATAATAACTATTAATGAGTAATTAATGAGTGAGCAAGTGAATGTCTGAAGGGCACAGTGTTGGAGGGGGAGCATGAACATTGTGTGCTTTTGAAGACAGGAAGAAACAGAGCTCCTGAAGCTGGAGGAAACCCATAAAAGCAGGGAGAATATTTTCAAATTCCACAGAGACGGGAACAAAGGACTCTTGCTGTGAGGGATCAATGCTAACCACTGAGCTGAGAAGCCACAAGTCAGAGATTTCATGTTCCCCACTTCAAAGTGTTGCTAATCACTTTAAGAAGACTGTAAATATTGGAGCAACCGACGCACACCATGTGGTGTAATCTGTACACTCAAATCTATATTTTCATGCAAATGTTTAACCTTTACATCTTATTTCCCCCTATTAGACAAAACTGAGTTAAACAGCTAACTGAAAATGAGCCATAGCATTACCAAAATGCCAGTGGCACGGCAGCCTGCCAGCTCACAAACCATTACGACTCTCATTTTATTTCCAGTAAAATGACACATGTGACCTAACTTTGGTGAAGAGCCATTAAGTGATCATTGTTTGCAAGTTTCACTAACATTTGACGAATACTCTTGGAGTACAGACCCTTATAAACTGTGATGAGCAAAAAAAATAGACAAAAACACCACTTTAAGAACATGATATATTTGCTAACATAATTGGAAAAACACACAAAAACCCAAAAAGATGACAGAAGATCCCGACATACAACTGAAAGATGGAGCATTTCAGAATTCCAAAATCTTCTTCACATTACAACACTATTAAATTTCAGTCCCTCAGGTGTGTCACACCCTCTGTGGAAAGTGAAATTTGCCCGTGAAGCGTCCGTGGTTGTGCAGGTCGAAGGGGCTGAGCACCCTCCTGATGCCCAGCATGTTGCCCTGTGCGATCTTCTTAAAGCTCCAGGGATTCTGGTTGTTCTGCTCCATGTCAGCTTGTTTCTTATGCAGGGCTGCTAGACTCTCTTTGCTCATTACCTGGAATAAAGACATGAGAATACTGTTACCACAGAGAACCAGTGGGTAAAAACTGCGGTCACTTCTAATCAAATCGCATCATCTGAAAACAGTTCAGACTTTTTCTCCCACCAGCGCATGCCTTATCTGTGATCTCACCTTCGCAGGAAAAGGAAGCTTCTTTGCCACTTCAGTCAAGATGTGCTCGACCTCGCCCAGCTCCACCTTTCCTCCCACCTCCACGATCAAACGTCCGTAACGAACCGGTGTCACGTAGTGGTCGATGGCTCCCTTGCCCCCACCCATGCGCTGACCCAGACCTTTCCGCGTGATGGGCTTGTAAGGGGCGTTGATGCGCCACATTGCAAACGTGGTCCGGGCGTCCATCTTTCGATTGATCGTAAGACGCATCATCTCTATATGACCCCAGTGGAGGTACCCACCTCCCAAGGCCTGTATATCAGATCAGAGAAAACAGGTCACTTAGTGTCATTCTCTATTTTTTAACTATTTAAAAAAACATATGGCAGCACACAGATTAAACCAGGCAGCAACTCTTAAGTCAGTTTAATGCCAAAAACTGCAGTCCCTGAAATCAATCCACATAAAAACCCATTTTAAAGAAGCCAACATCGGCACAAAACATTCTGGCACAAAAAGCGGCTTTGTTTCCCATCACTCACTTTCACCATCTACCCGCGCCAAACTGACAAATACCTCACTTCATTTAAACTGTGTAAAAGGCTTAAAGTTACCATGCTGTGGCCGCTGTGTGACAGACAGGTGCCGTTTCATCTCATTTAACTTGCAGGTGTACTGTTAAGTTTTTCCAGCAAGTACTTTAAAAAAAATATCTTGAGTAAAATTAAAAAAGAACCAGGTTGAGTCACCTTTTATTTTAACTATAAATCTTGATCAGCACAGAACAAACAAAATGTCAAGGCACTTAGTCATATCCTGTAAAACATGCAACACTACTGTCAGCCATATCTAAAGTAAGATAAATGCACTCACCACAATAGCGTACTGTCCCGTGGTGAAGGTATTTGCAGATTTAGCTGGGCCCTGGATATCCCACAGCTTCTTTGCCTCTTTCTTGGCCTTTTTTAAGTTCGGCACCTTGTTCAAAAACTTCAGTTTGGGCTTGTCTGGCAGCACCACATCTGTAGAGGATAAAAACAGGCACGAAGGAACATGTCACATATTTACATATTTACCTGCTACTGAACACCAGAACTGAGGGTGCTGGATGCAAATAAAAAGGTTGCTATGTGGAGAAGGGTTGGGATTGGAGCTCTAACTGCTATACTAATAGTCCACGCAACACTCATGGTGAAAACTGCACCTCCGGCACAATTTCCTCCACGGGTGTTTTGGATCAGAGGCGACCTTTTCACAACAGAAAGGAGTGAATTGACGCATGCAAAGTGTGAATTGTGTTGCCATGACACATCTAGAAGAAACCCAAACCCTAAAGATTTGTACAGCCCTGCTACAGGCACATTTATGTCAGCAATGTTTGTAGGAAAACTATAGATGTCTTCCCACTGTTCATGTTTACATCGCAGTGCAGTCTGATTGGTGACCTTTCCAAATCTACAGTGAGATGAACATGTTTCACCTTTTCAATTTTGAACCTGTGCATAACTGAGAAAGTATTTATTACACAGCGTGCTGCGGGGAAAAGCCTGTTCTAACGTTTGAGTCTAAGGTTTATTTTTTAACACCTGGCGGCTTTTTTGCTTCTCATCCGTAAATACTCTGCATACTCTTTCACATGATTCAGTTTATTTTGAAAAGTCTCAACAGGATCTTGAGCTTTATTGTGAAAGGTTCATGTGGAAAATAAACAAGCGGACATGCCGTGGTTTTACCGTTGTTGTTGCTAACGACAACGCATAAAAACAGGCGCTTGTCCGTCTGTAGTGTGGTTATATTAAATATAAGAGAAAGAGAGAACTTTAAGAAATTAATAGAGCCATGAAAAAATATTGACGTAAACAGTTTATTTTGCGACACCATGAAACAAACTATAGCGTAAAATGAACCGATAGATGTTTTTATATAGTCATCCGATATATAAATCGTTATATCAAACAGCCCTATTCACATGAATCATAACTACTGACTCATGCACATCTGGTATATCCCTCTGCATGATTTTTGAAACAATAAATATATTTCAGGTTTTCTTAATAGGCGGAGAAATCAGCATATAAAGGCCCGCAGGTTGAGAGTTGGGGTTACTTTTGAAAGCTTCATGCTGTGATTTAAGTCATGGTTGGGGTTGTTTAATGAGAATGAAGCATGACTCTGGACCAGCAGTGTAAAGCCATAAAAATTAAACAGCCTGACACAAATAAGTGAAAAGAAGATGAATAATTACCACTGTAGTCTGGAGGGATTTCATATGTCTTCAGCCCTGCAGAGAGGACTTTCAAGTAGCTGTGCAAAGGACCTGTGGAGTAAACCACACGTGAAACAACTGTGCAAGAGGAATTTTGTGGTTTTCAGAAACAAAACAAGTCTTACTTGCGTAGGCTGTTATATTTACGAAAAATATGCTTGAAGCAAGTCTGCGGTGAACTTGTCTTCATCTGAAACTGATGTTGTCATGTCCTGTGTGGAAAATCTATTTACTGTGTGTCCAGCTTTTACAGGAAGTCAGCTGCTCTTTGTACATGTGCAGCTTATTGTTAACTGCAGGTTTCTTGTTTGGCATAATGTAATTATCATATCCTGTTGAATAAAATTAATATGGCATTTCTGTCATAGAAGTGCTTCAGTAGCCAAATGTCTAATCACTTCAATCAGCCTCAGCGTTAAGGACCTTGGGGGTCCAAGTCCTGTCCAAGTCCTGCATGCCGAGTGAAAAATTGCCAAAGCTCTGCTGATTCAATAACCTCAGAGCCCCAAACCTCATCTCCTTACCATCAGCTCAAAAACTTAGTGCAAGAGCAAGGTTTCCACAGCTGACCAAATCCTGTAGTATGCATGTGTGAGTGGCCCAGTTGCCCAGTTTTAAGGCAGGACCTCACTCATAAACTGCAAAACAAGTGAAAATGTGTTGGAAGACACCGTGCCCTTACAGTCACTGTACTAGTGTGTGGTGAGCTCACTGATCCACATCGGCACCAGAGAGAACATCTCTCATGATTTCTCTCTGTAGTCTTGTGACTGCTTCTCTACGAGCCTACTTACACCCATCCATGGATTGGTGTAATTGTGTGTATGGTGTGGTTTAAAGTAACCACACCATACACACAGCGGTGCATTACTGCACTGTGATATACGAATGAACTCACTCTTTATTTTTAATTGTTGTGTTTACTGGCTGGTTGCCCGTCTAGTTGATAACCCTGGCCAGGATCCTGTCTTCATACACTGCCTTTCTTTATGGGCTAACTGTGTAACGTTAGCATGGAAAATAAGGTTTACACAGTTTAGCTGCAGTCTCGTCTACCTAGTAGTGAATGTCGGTAACCTAATCAAAATGCCCCGTTTCCACCTTTACCTGGAGGTTAACGTTATGATGAGGTTACCATTAGCTAGCTTGTATTACCTTGTAGGTGACTGCTGGTTTGACAGATTCCGGTCAGCCCGCCGGCAGCAGCTTTAATGAGGGAGAGCATGATGTTAGAGTTGAAATGGACCCTACAAACACCAAACAGTCATTCCGTGTGGTACATATACGAGCATTTTAGGTGTGTGAATAATATAAAATTCTACAAACACCACGTTGGACAAAAGGTCGCTGCCATCGCGGAGTTACTGTAAGACTTCCGGCACAAAAAGAAACATTTCCGGTGTTCGTGTCTTTCACAATAAAAGTATTACAGCCCTCTTTCTGGCTTTTTCTTGTCATTATTATCATTAATCTGATATATTTAATGTGATATAAACATATCACATGAAAGTACAAAATCTATTGTGGTATTTGATTTATATACACATTTAGCACATGAGTTCAGAAGCTGACACAGTAAAAATCCACCTTAACCTCCTAAGACTCGAACTCTTTCATGGCATGCATTTTTAATTTCTCTTTGATATTTGGGCTGATTGGGACCTGAGAAGTTTAAAAACAAAGAATTGCCAGATTTATTTTTTTTTTACCTGATTTTTTTTTTCTGACAAAAAATGAGATGCACATATGAGGATATTTGTTTTAAATTTCAATAGAACAGTAGCAGTATCATGTCCTCGTAAGTGAATATCAGGCCCTTGTAGAGCAAAATTTTGTATTTTGGTCTAGAGGACCCAAAATGTTATGTCCACATATGTGAACACCAGGTCCTAGGAGGACTAATAAGGTCAATAGATCTCAACCTACTTCTATTATCCACCTATGGGGGATTTTAGACGTATGCACACTGCTCTATGGAAGTTTTTTTTGTGCCACTGGAACAAACAAAAGTTTAGAAAATAATACATTTTTGCCACCCATAAGTTTAAACTTTCTAAATAATCATCTGAAATTTTCAACTTACTAACTCACCTTGTTGAGAAACTTGAACTCAAAATTGAAAAAAAAAAAAAATGTAAAATTTCAAATTAAGTTGACAATTTGAGATGAAAATTTCAACTTATCTCTGCCAATCAATCGTGTTTGTTTCAGTGGCAGAAACAAGCTTCTATACCACAGTCCACTGCTGTCATCAGAAGATCAAATTTAATTACCTTACCCTTACATTAACACCAGTGATCCTAAGAAACTTGTTCTAAACAGGTAGAAAATGCAAACTCCACACAGACAGACACCTGTCCAACAGGAGGGCTGAGCCGAGAGAACGCAGAGAAAAATGATGGTTGAAATTTTATTATAACAGCAGAGCATGCACAGTGGATAAATGTGCCATCTCGCTGCTGATATACATTGGTTTACCACAGGAAACGCTAACACAGTGCATCAAAACTCACGCCTATCAAACGTGTGAAGAAGGCAGAAAAAAAACAAAAAACACCAAAATTATATTTTTCACTGATAAAAAATTTTTTTAGTGTTAACAAAATAAACTATGAAACATTTGACAAATCCCACTACAGAGTGCGCACCTGCCATTACTTAACACAGGTAAAATTTGAACTCATTCCAGTTTTTCCAGCCTCCCACATAGTTCTGTTAAAAACTGGTAGAGACTACCCTGCAGTCAAACTCTTTACATCCCTTAGGTTTGCATTTCCTATATCATCAAATATTTGCAAAACACTTCTGTTGATATCTGTTTTTACTAACCCGCAATCCTCCTTACTGTCACACTCCCTGTAAAGGCAAAAACACTGTCGGTAATTTGATCTCTACAACAAGAACAACAACAAAAAAAGAATAAATGTTCAACAGTCTTTAAATCAGAGGCACTTTAGTATTCCTCAAACAGCTACTTTGTGGTTCAAAGTCTGAATGTCTCTTGTTACTCATTCAGCAGCCGTCAGTGCTACTCTGCAGAGCTTCTTGCCCATCACATAATGAATAAAGTCACCGATTCTAAATCCCGTGGTAGAGGAGATCATATTTGGGAATATTTTGAGGATCTATGGGACTCTGGACGATCATTTTCCCCCGCATGGCTCCTCTGTAGATCACTTCAATCAGGTCCATGAAATCTTGCTTGGTTTTGAAGCTGCCAACGAACTTGGTGTGATCTGGAGAGCTGAAAGACAAACAATTATTAACAACTGTTGGCCTTATTCTGACTCTTTGCGCATCAGCAGTAGCTTATACTTTTGGTATGTGTTGATATGTATCCACAAAATTGACATTGATTATTCTTAAGTTGAAAGTCATGCCATCAAAATGAATTTGAAAAAAGTCTGAAATCCCTTATTTCTTTATAATTAGGAACGGAAATACAACGTTAATGAAACGTGTCAAAATAAATAGAGCATCAGAGTTTGTAAAATTCGAATGAGTTTGAAAGTCAATATTTGGTATGACCACCTTTATTCTTCAACACAACCTGAACTCTCTTAGGCAAGCTTTTATATAACATCTGTAAACAGCCTTCAGGAATGGCAAATGGCAAATATTTGTATAGCGCTTTTACTAGTCCCGCCTAGGGACCCCAAAGCACTTTACACACCCAGTCATCCACCCATTCACACACACATTCACACACTGGTGATGGCAAGCTACATTGTAGCCACAGCTGCCCTGGGGCAGACTGACAGGCAAGCTTTTATATAACATCTGTAAACAGCCTTCAGGAATGAATGTTCTGTTGTCTGTCAAGATCGACGCGATGGGCAGAGCCGTGAGTACTCAAACAGTGCTTATTGAACGCAATATGGATAAGATCTTGGAGAAGCTCACAGCTCTGCAAAGAGAACTGGATAGACCTGGGGACCAGTGATGGATATTAGATCACCTGCGAAATCAAATGCAGCCCGGTCACTCTAACCTTAAACCAAACAACCATCATCTTATTCAGCTACCCGGCCGTCAGCTTAGAAGGCTTCAAGGCCGAAAGCTGGCTGGAACAACTCCCCCTGATAACAGGACTGTGATTTGACCCTCTGGCCACATCCTTCAAGGCCAACTGCGGCGGCTGGAGAACTGCTGACTTTTGCTTAGAACTGGGTGAAAGGACGCTCTCTTTTCAGTTGATACAGGATACACACACGCACACACGTAATCAGACACAGATATACAATCACCCTCCTCCCCCTCCAAGCGGCTCCGATGCACGTCCTTTATGTTATATGGTGGTGTGAAGACTCATGTGCTCTCTGTGCTGAGGTGTTTTTTTTCTGTTCTCAAACTGTCGTCCTGTAGTAGCTCAGTCTGGGTGGAGTTCTTTTTCCTCCTCATGTTCCATCATATATTGCATATTCATTGCTTCCATCCTACCTCTCTTGACATGTCTTCCCAATGTGAAGTATGGGATTTGTATGTACAGTCAGAAAGGGTCCAATCTCACTGCATATGCACGTAAATGGCTATCTATCTACATATCTAAGATGACCCCACAGTGCTTAAATAATGCTAAGGTCTGGGCTTTTGGGGGGCCAATTCATGACTGATAATTTTCCATGTTTTTTTGTTTTTTTTCTCTATCCAGGTATACTTGGATTTAGGGGTGGGTTTAAAAAAAACTGATTTCCTGATTCAAATCTCTTAATTTGAATAATGTGATATTGATTCATTATTCAAAATTCATTGAACCAGCAGCTAAGAAGATAAGAACTACACTTCTGTTTAATACACATTGCCATGCAGTTCCTCTTACTTTGGCAGTTTTGCTTCCACCATGATAAAAATCACACTTCCCGCACAGCTCTCTCTCTGTACTTCAAGACCAGTTTACCATCAAAAAAATCTCTGGTTTCTGCCTTATTTGGTGGCTTATTAAACGCCAGTCTGTGTAACTTGACTTCCTACAGTTTTTTCATATGTATTTTAAGGGAACACTGCACAGCATGATCACAAATGCTATGTTTTCAGCTAATAGCTATTTGTAATACACCTTGTAGGTGAAAAGTGCCAATTAATGTCTGTTATCTTTTGCACATATCATAGATTCAATTAAATAAGCAGAGACACATAAGGTGTTTTTGCTGCCTAAAGACACAATGTGTGCGTGTGTGTGTTTTAGATTACTTCTTTGCTAAGTAATCTTTTAAGCGTTTGTTTAACAAAACAAAAAAAACTCAAGAAAGTCTGGCAAGGAAAATGTAACTGAGGGGTAGCTCAGTGGCCCTCGATAATCACTCGGGTCACTTCCCTGGTTCAAGCTATTCGACTGCTTCAAACTAATGTCTTCTTATAATGATTTTAGGTTAATGTCATTCTGAGCCCTAGGTCCACTCACCCATAATCGACCTTCATGTGCTGTCCGTTGAAGAAGAAGACAGTGGAGGGGATGTAGCTTATGTCGAAGTATCTCGTGTAAATGGGAGCTTTATCAACATCGACGATGTAAATGGACGCCATGTTACTCAAGTCGTGGGCCGTTTTAGAGAGCTACAACAGAAAGACAGGAGACACATGAGCTAAAGTAGAGAGTGAGCAGTTATTATTTACATTCATGTCACCGTTTCAGCTTACTATCTCGTCGAGCTGCAGACACACCGAGTCATCGTCCCTGCCGAACCGTAAAACCACGACTTTTTCTGCCACCCCTTTAATGACTTCGTCGATATCTTTTTTGCACGTTAATTTGGGCAAAAACAAACTCATTTTGAGGCTAACGAGCTAACGTCTCCCCCTGTACGGTTGTTTTACTTCCGGGAGGGAAGTGCGTCATCATTGCGTCGTGTGCGACACCATCAAATATCCGCCTTAACTTTAATTAGAGACACTGTGGAAATAATTTAAATAAGCTGTGGTTTATAATTTATTATATCATATTACCATTTAAATATATTGTATAGATTTAGCTGGCTAAAAACGGCTCGTGTTCTCTTCTCAACAAAGACAATCGATGCTGTGCCACCTCGTTGTTTCCTCTACGACACATTATAGTGTGACACCGTGACCTTCTTCCCTAGTGTTTGAGAAGCCTGGCCGTCAACACATGTGAGCACACGTCTGAGAACGTTCTGGACTCTGAGTGAGATGTTCCCGTTACTTGTAATACTTGAATAACAGCGGAAGTCTGGGAGAAGCGCTTCTGTAAACACAGTCTGGCTCTCCTGGTTTTCTAAGCAGCTCTTGTTTCGTTTCATTTGTGGCGATGTTGCTGCGGCTCTTCACTCCCAGAGGCTGTGCTGTTTTTTGGAAATGCGCTCATTCTGTGTCATTCTGCGCTTTCGGGAGGCAAGTGTGCAGTTTTAATACTAGCAACAGCAGGGCCAGCAGGCACAGAGCGTCCATCGCGGTGTCCATCCGCCTCCTCAGTGCTATCAGCCCAGCGGGGACAGATGCTGCGCAGACGAAAGCAGGTAAAACCCAGGAAACAGAGGCTCTAGATCTGGACAGGTGGAAGTCTGTGATGAGATCCCAGGCTGCATTTGATGAGAAGCAGGTTCAAGATGAAGCAGAGGAAAGTGATGATGATGAGAACCTGAAAGAGCCAGGAGATGATTCAAAGGACGGGTCTTCTCTGGAGGCAATGCGGGATCTGGTTGCGATGTGGCAGCAAGCTGGAAAGCTTGTACCTGAAGAGATGACTGATGAGGAGGTGGAGACACTGGCGAAGCTCACCACCAAGTCTTCCAGGAAGAAGTACCTGAAGTACCTGGCTATCAGGGAGCGCCACAAAAAGGCCCGTAAGGAGAAGCAGCAGCAGAAGGCAGCCAAGAGAGAAGCATCTTTGATGGAGAGAAGAGAACTGGAGAGCAGTGGAGAGGAAGGGGAGGGCGAGGGTGGACCCAGGTTGAAAAACACACTCTTCCTTCAATTCTGGGACCGTTCTCTGGACAAGCTGCTGGCGTGGAAGTCCGCTCAGTCCATGGTGTTCGGTCAGCCGCTGGTGTTTGACATGAGCTATGAGTCGCACATGTCCAGACGGGAGATCGAGAACACGGTGTCCCAGCTGATGGATGTTGAAGGGCTAAACCGGCGTGCCACTGAGCCCTACCATCTCCACTTCTGCAACCTGCAGCCAGATGGACTCTACAAGAAGGAGCTGCTCCAACGGTACGGTGCAGAGACTTGGGAGCGCCTACTCATCTCCACCTCTGAGCGGCAGCACGTTGACCTGTTCCCCCGCGAACAGCTCGTGTACCTCACTGCAGACTCGCCCAACGTCCTCCGCACCTTTGACCACTCAAAGGTTTATATCATCGGAGCTCTAGTGGACCGCTCGATCCAGAAAGGCTTATCGCTGGCCAATGCAAAGCGTCTGAAGCTGGCCACAGCCCGTTTACCCCTCGATGAGTTCCTCCACTGGGAGATGGGAGCCAAAAATCTGACTCTGGATCAGATGATCCGCATTATGCTCTCTTTCAAGGATAGAGGGAGATGGGATGAGGCGTTACAGTTTGTGCCTAAAAGGAAGCACGATGGCTTCCACCAACAACAGACGCAGACTACCAGACACAGAGCCAGAGATGATGGCGACAGGCCACCGAGGTCAGGAGAGAAAAGAAATATAAACACATTTAAAAACAAAGAGCACAGAGAGTCCGGGTTCACTGGAAGAGACAGAGAAAACACACCAGCTGGAACCAAAGTACGGACATCATTAAAGAGTGACATAGAAGCCAGAAAAAGTGGAGGCAGGAACAGGATGTGGTGGCATGAGGAGTGAGAAAACGAACTTTTGCTATTTTGTAAATGTAAATTGAAAGTGAATAAATGCTGCTTTAATGACAACAATGCAAAAGTAGAAACTACTTTGGTCTTTATTTTAGAAAAACAAAGGATGTACAGATATTTGTTGTGCATTCACTGCAGATGAAACCATCACTATTACTGCAAAGAGCAGTCGTTTCCAAAAGAGATGAAAGAAACAGCTCAGTTTTAAATGCATATTTTCAATCGATTACCAGTTATTTTATTGTAATGTGTTTTGAAGCAAAAATACAGCCCTTATACATTTCTTTTTAAATAATAATAGACAAAACAAAAACGACATTAAATGAAGAGGAAAAAAAAAAAAGAGTCAAGGTCATTTTTGCTCTTGTAGTACCATCTGTCCACTTCCAAAATACTGTATATTAATGCATTTACATGATGAAATATACAAAATATATTAATACAGTGTTTTCCTAAATAAGGTAGCACCATTATACAGAGGAAGTGTGGCTCCTGCAGTATAGGAGGGACCCTGATTCACTTTATATACAGTCACAGTGGAAGCAGCTCACTGGAGGGGTATTTACACAACATACTTTCAAGTCTCAGGATCAAACTTACAGCTGGAATATGCAAATAAAACTCAGCACACCCTCAAAACACACTAAAGACTGGAGGCTCCGAAGGAGTATTAGTGCCACATTAAGAAAAAATTGTTTTTGATCATTTTGAGAGTAAAGTCAAAATGTGGCAATTAAAACCTTCTAAAAATGCCTTGTATAGATGAGTTACTTCAGAATTGCATTCAGTAATAAGGCAATAATTTCTCTGTTACTACATAAACACAGTGTAGTGATAAATATGAGGATGGTGCAAAACATTGCATCTGATCAGAAGAAAGAAAAGCACAAACTTGAAAGAGTTGGCTGAATTTCTGCAAACCAAAGTGGCTGGCAATGGACAGATGCAAGCATATCCAATGGTTACACCTGGGTGCAATAAAGTAGGTAAGTCACAACATACAATAAGACACCAACAGATGATCAAGTTGTTTCACTAACTCATCTACACAAGGACGTCTGTAGAAGGTATCGCAGCCGTGCCAGCTGTTTGGCTTGAAACTATAATCTCCACATTTCTACTTTCTTTTTTAAAAATAAATATATTCTCTGCTCCAGTTGCCTAGGTAACCTCCAAATGCATATACTTTCAGATAATAAGTCAATCATTCTTACAGGTAGTCACTTTAGTCGCTGGCCTGGAAGTCGAGAAAAACTGATCTTGGGTTCTGTCCATGTCCATCGCCAGTGACTATGGTCACCGATCATCACGCTGCTGTGAATCGCTTCCAGCGTGCATGTTTGCATCTCTGTTCAACGCATAACACGGACTCACCTTGATGTCACATCCCAGTGAAATGTCTAATCATTGCGTTACGATTCCTGAATTCAGAGCAAATAAAAGTAACAAAATAAACAGAGCCATATATATTCCGACCATCATCTGAAATGTAAAAATAACAGTCAGGGTAAAACCACAACCAGGAGAGCAGCAACTGTCTGCTGCTGTTCCAACTAAACACAAAGCTCCAGTAACCCTCAGACTACACTCAGTCCTTTGAAATAAGCTCCAACGATGTTTGTGGTAGTCTCTGTGACCTCTACAGCACCAGGATGTCTCCTGTACAGCGCTCACAGCAGTTAAACGTAATGTTCTCGTAGCGGGTGTAAGGGTGAAACCTGCCAATGCTCTTCTTACTATTGAGGAAGTTTGAGGGGGTGGAGTCACTGAGTGGAGACTCAGCCTTGTTTTCGGAGCAGGAAATGGGATCTAAACTCTTCAGCACCTGAGACAGAAAGTGAGTGACATCTGTGAGTTTCTGGATTTTCTTACAAATGTGAGAAATTAAATATGATATTTATCATAAACAAACATGTAAAACCTTCACCTTCTCAGCCATCTGCTCAGCTGCTGCGCTGCTGCTGCTGCTGCTTTTTGCGGCATTGGTGCTGCTGCCGCCGCTGTTACCCAGCAGGTGGGCGTTGATGGCGTCTGCTAGCTTGTGATTGGCCACCGCCAGCTCTCCCGTGCTTAGGGGTTGTGAGGTGGGATAGTACGTCTGTTGTCTGCCCCACTGCAGAGACACCAGGAGCTGCTCCAGAGATCTGAAAACACAAAAACAGGTAACGTCAACACATACTGCCATCATTCACGCCAGCATCAGGGGCTCTGAGTTCCAGTATGCTTTAAGTTTAGAGTTCTTATAATAGACACTCCAGTTTATTTAATCACTACATGTGAGTCACAATCTTACCTGTGGGTGAGCATCATGTCCCTGGAGAACTCCTCTCTCTCCAACAGCAGGTCCTGAATTGCTCCTTGTGCCTCTCTGGTCTGTCTCTGCAGAGCTGCTCTGGCATTCGTTAGTTCCTCTGCCATGACTCTGAGGAGACAACACAAATTCAAGAGTTTATTCAGCAAAACACAGATAATATATATACACACACATACATTTTTTAATTTATCTTCCACTGAATTATACTGTCCATTACCTGCTGGCCAGGAACTTGCTCCTCCAAACGTCACACTGGATACTCATTCGCTCTAGTTGCTCTGCAGTGTGTGCCAGACTCCTGCCCAGAGCCTCGTTCTCCAAAATCAGCTGATTTTTCTCCCGTGACAGGCGCTCAAAGTGGTACTGAAGGTCGTCACCCACCGACGCCACCAGCAGCTTCTTTAGCTCACGGTTCACCTAGCGCACAAATTTGATAAAACCTCCTTTTACAACTGAAAACACAAATGAGAAGTTGAACTGTCTTCTCTCTTCGTATTGTAAAGAACTTTGTCATTAAAAAGAAAAAAGCTTTAAGAATAACAAACCATATTAGTTACATTTTTGTTGTGCTCACCATTTTTAAAAAAAAAAAAAAGGGTCCTCAGTGTGTCTGATATTTAAATAATGCGTGTCAGTTTCATTGCAGCCTCACCTCTGTTTGCACACGGAGCTGATTGGACAGGCCTTCTTTGTCCTGCAGCAGCCTGCGCTCAGAGTTCTGCAGCTT